CTAATTCTGCTACTTTTCCTCATTATAATCCACCATTCAAAATCTGAACCAACTACAAATGGCTACACTTGCACAATCAACAGCACAACCACCAATTACCCCTGTCAAACCTATGTATTATACAGAGACAGAGCTAAATCCCCTGATTTCTTAGACCTTGCTTCAATTGGTGATATCTTCAATGTCAGCAGACTTTCGATCGCAAAACCCAGTAATATTTCAAACCCATCTTCATCTCTTCTCCCAAATCAACCCCTTTTCATCCCCATTTCATGTGGGTGTCACCCTATTCAAAATCAAACCCTTAAATCAATCTCTTTTGCTAATATGACCTATACTTTCAAACCAAATGACAATTTTTATTATGTTTCCACTGAAATTTATGGTTATCTTACCACTTACCAATCTACTGAAATTGTTAACCCAAATCTTGATGTTCATAGTCTTCCTGTTGGGGGTGAATATATTTTTCCTATCTTTTGTAAGTGTCCTAATAATACCCAGTTGAGGAATAATGTTAGTTTCTTATGTTTTTCAGCCTGATGATAATTTGAGTAGTATTGCATCTTTGTTTGGAGTAACTAGGCAGTCTATTGTTGATGTAAATGGGGATAATCCTAAAGTTTTTGATACAATTTTCGTTCCGGTTTCGAAACTTGTTAAGCTTAATCAACCAATTCAACCTCCTGGTGCTCCTAATAATCAGACTAATAGTGGGAGTAATCAGACTATTGTGGTGAATAGTAAGAGCAAGTTTAGCCCCAAGTCTTAAGACTTGGATGTGACATCATTTTTTGTGGTCCTCATTGAAAATGATGTCATCAAATTCTTGTTAAGACTCACTAAGATTTACACAAATTTATCACTTTAGCCCTAAGATTTAAATATTTGACATATTATATGTAGAATAGTGTAAAAGAAAAAAAGGGATAATAAAAATAAAAATGAAGTGGGTGAAGTGGGTCCCAATCTCAAGTCTTAAGTTGAGTCTTGAAATTTCAAGACTCAACTTGAGACTTGCTTGAGATTTTTAAAGAAAAATACGAAAAGTCTTAAGTACAAATCTTAAAACTCAAAATGATGATGTCACCCAAGTCTTAAGACTTGGGGCTAAACTTGCTCTAAGAGTGATCATAAAGGGGCTGCTGTTGGTTTAGGTGTTGGAATGGGTGTTAGTATTTTGTTGCTTGTATTGGTTTCTGGGGTGTCAATTTATACGGAAATTGACTACAGGAAAAAGTCAAAGGAGAGAGATTTTGAGGTGATTAATAGGCAGGAGAATGCAAGGAAAGGTAGTGAGAGGAGGGTTTTGAATCAATTAGAACATAATTTGCTGTTGGCTGATGTTTCTGATACTTTGGATAAGTATAAAATTTATGAAATTGATGAATTGTGAAAAGCTACTGATGGGTTTGATGAAAAGAGTGTGATTTATGGTTCTGTTTTTAAAGGTTGTATTAATGGGAAATTTTATGCTATAAAAAAGATGGAATGGAATGCTTATGAAGAATTAAAGATCCTGCAGAAGGTATATCTCATTTTTAACATGTTCTATAATATTAGTTATTTAGTACGGAGTATTTTTTTATTTTTTTTTAATTTTAATAGAAAAATCAATTCATTAATAAAAAAAATTACTTAATACTTAGTAGACAACATATATAGGTTTTCAAATTTTACAATTAATACAAGTACACAATGCAATATAAAATAAAAGTTCTTGCGTGCTGTAGAAAAAAGTAAAAGAACTTATCTTTTAAGGGAGAAAATACATTTACTTTAGAAAAGGAAGAGTTTTTATAAAATAAAATCCGATAAAAGTCCCTCTAGCTTAGAATTCAGTAATGGAGTCTAGGGTGTTATAGATCGGAGAGCTGAGAGGGGAAGAGCTAAATTTCCGTAGTTAGGTGAATTGTTTCCCCTAGAGCATGTAAAATATACTTCTAGTACATTTTTGGGTGATTACTAAGATATATAATTGGATTGTTATATGATCAGAGTGCATGTAGTAATATGTCATGAAGTAATTAGCTCATGATGCAATTTAATTTCCTCCTGTCATTTGCAGGTGAATCATGGAAACTTGGTCAGATTGGAAGGATTTTCCATTGACCCTTAAGATGCTACTTGCTACCTAGTCTATGAGTTCATTGAAAATGGGTCTCTTCATTTTTGGCTACATGAAAACAAGACAAAATTAAACTGGAAAGCTAGACTAAGAATTTCAATCGATATTGCAAATGGTCTTCAATACTTTCATGAGCATACTAGACCACAAGTTGTTCACAAAGACATTAAGAGCAGCAACATTCTCCTTGACAACAATATGAGAGCTAAGATTGCCAATGTCGGGTTAGCAAGGTCTGGGTGTAACGCTATTACAATGCACATTGTAGGCACCCAAGGATATATTGCACCTGAATATTTAACTGATGGTATAGTCTCTCCAAAAATGGACGTCTTCTCATTTGGAGTAGTCTTGCTCGAGTTGCTATCAGGTAGGGAGGCCATCGACCAGGAGGGAAAAGCACTTTGGGCTAGTGCCCATGAAACTTGGGACTATGTTGATGATGGTACCGAAAAGGTGAAGAAGTTGATGGAGTGGATAGACAACTTCCTTCTAACAGAATCTTGCTCAGTTGAGGCCTTAACAAATATGATGGATGTGGCTGTTGCTTGTGTTAACAAGGATCCCTCAAAGCGGCCAAGTATGGTAGATGTTGTGTACGTGTTGTGCAAGAGTGATGACCCCTTCTATGATACGTCGGGAACTGAGTTTTCTACATCTTCCATTACATCATGGTAGATCCAAAAAATATTTAGGTTGAGATGCATGTATATAGTCCCTGTAGATGGCTGTTGAACAAATGAACTCTTGATGTATAAAATTCCCAAACAACACATGTAAGTGTCTCACATTAAGGAAAAAAAAAAGAGAATTAAGTACTTTAGGGTTTTTCTACACGGTACCCCTACGGTATTCACTTTTCCAAGTCGTATCCACCCAAATCAAAATTCCACACTGTAACCCCAAGGCACCTTTAATGTGTAAGATAGATGTACCCCTGTCGTTAAGTTGCCGTTAACTATTGCCGTTAGTTTTAATTTCCTCACCACCAAATCCTAACCCTCACGACCCACCACCCACCAACACACCCCAGCTAAGCCACTCGTCGAACCCCACCTGCGAGCCGAACCTCGCCAGCGACCCCTACCATCACCCATCACAGCCCCACCACTACCCATCGGAGGCCCACCACCACCTAGTGCACCACCAAAGAAAGAGTTCCAATGCAATGGAGGAGTTTAATTCGAATTGAAATTTTGAAAATTGGTTTAGGGCTTTTGTTTCATAGAATTCAAATTACAAAAAGTTGTTAATTGTTGTTTTCGTTTTCAAATCAAGGAATTTGGTTCAAAACAATTGAAAACCCTAATTTTTCCCCCAATTTGATTTTCAAATCAAAGAATTTGGTACCTTAGGGTTACAGTGTGGAATTTTGAAAATGGGTGGACATGGACACAGCTTGGAAAAGTGAATACCTTAGGGGTATTGTGTAGAAAAACCCAATACTTTATTAGGCTAAAGGGTTGATCCCTCTATTATCATATGGTTTTATCAGGAACCTCCTGTGTTCTTGTGGAATGGACTCTTTCTGCAAAAGAAGTATGAGTCATGGGTCAGCATATATACATATATATGTATACATATAATAAGGAACAACCTGATAAAACAAAGCTCGGATAAATAAAGTAATTTTGATGAGTTTATCCCCAGATCGAAACTTGTTCTCTAGACTTTACCACATAAGTTTTCCACTAACTTTTAAATACATTTATATTATTCAAATTCATACAAGTTTTTCTCCAAATTCACGAATTATCCCTAGACTCACTCCAACTCACTTAACCTTTTCAAAATATATTCGTTTTTTGTTAAGTATCTTTACATGCAAACTAGCCATTGGGATTGAATTTCCATCTTGGTTGGTGAGGTGGCAAGTTTTGATTGGCAAACAACCAAATATTGCAGCATTTGTTCCCCATGCAAAGTCTTAACATGAGTTTTGCTTTTCCAAACTCTATGCAAGACTATGTTGAGACTTTGCTCAAAACTTGCAATAAACTTACCCGGCCTAAGGAATGCAAGCTGGCACACATTGGGCATGGTCGGGCTTGGGCAATTGGACTCGTGTAGATCTTATCAAAGTTATCTCGGCCCGAAAAGTGTCAGTTTTGGGCAGAATTTCAAGCAATGGGTATTGGCTACATACTAATGTAGCTATTATAGCTGAAGCCCAGTGCGGCCCAAATCAACTCCACGCTCTATAAAAGGAACATTTAGTTCAAAAAAGTGAACATCTAATAATAAAAATGAACATGTAATACTAAAAAGTGAACATGTTATAAAAAAAATGATCATTTGTTATCATATAATCATATATTTGCTAGACCACGACCTTAAAAACGAACATTTAGTAAAAAATGAACACGTAAAAAAAGGAATATTCAGTAATAAGAAATGAAAGCCTAAAAAAACGAACATTTAGTAATAAAAAGTGAACATATTAAAAAAAAGAAATGAACTTTTAGTATATTAGACATGAACATTTATCATACAATCATAAAATAGCTAGACCATACCAAATACAATGAAGATTTCGTAAAAATATATGAGCACATTAAATATTTGATGATTTAGTATTAAAAACGTGAAAAAATTAACACGTCAAATAATATTATGAACATTTAATATAATATTAAAATGAACATGATTTCATACATTTATATAAGTTCAAATTCGTTGTATATAATAAATTTACGAAAAATAAAGCTAAAATAAATCGTTAAAATATGTTCATTTTTAGTCTACTTAATGTTCATTTTGTACAAAATTGTTCAATTTTAAAGTACTTCGTGTTCATTTTTTTTTACAGAAATTATACACAAGTTCAATTGTAATTATTAATATTTTAGCTCTAAAAATTTGAATATATATCCACCTTAAATCTAATTCAAAATCTGAACCAACTACAAATGGCTACACTTGCACAATCAACAGCACAACCACCAATTACCCCTGTCAAACCTATGTATTATACAGAGCTAAATCCCCTGATTTCTTAGACCTTGCTTCAATTGGTGATATCTTCAATGTCAGCAGACTTTCGATCGCAAAACCCAGTAATATTTCAAACCCATCTTCATCTCTTCTCCCAAATCAACCCCTTTTCATCCCCATTTCATGTGGGTGTCACCCTGTTCAAAATCAAACCCTTAAATCCCTTTCTTTTGATAAAATGTCCTATACTTTTAAACCAAATGACAATTTTTATATAGTTTCTACTGGAATTTTTGGTTATCTAACTAGTTACAACTCTACTGAAATTATTAACCCTGATGCTAAACCTCTTAATCTTTCTGTTGGGGTTGATTATTATTTTCCTATTTTCTGTAAGTGTCCTAATAATACCCAGTTGAGGAATAATGTTAATTTCTTGGTTACTTATGTTTTTCAGCCTGATGATGATTTGGATATTATTGCATCTTTGTTTGGAGTAACTAGGCAATCTATTGCTGATTTAAATGGGGATGATCCTGAAGTTTATGAAACGATTTTCGTTCCGGTTACGAAACTTGTTAAGCTTAATCAACCCATTCAGCCGATTCAACCGGCCCCTGCTCCTCGAGTTCCTACTAATCAGACTAATAATAGTGGCAGTAATCAAACAATTGTGGTGAACAGTAAGAGTGATCATAAAGGGGTTGTTGTTGGTTTAGGTGTTGGATTAGGAGTTAGTGTTTTATTGCTTGTTTTGGTTTCAGGGTTGTTATTAGTTTATTGGGAAGTTGACTTGAGGAAAAAGTCAAAGGAGAGAGATTTTGAGGAAATTATTCGGCAGGAGAATGTAGGTCATGAGAGGAGGATTTTGAAGCAATTAGAACAGAACTTGCTGTTGGCTGATGTTTCTGATACTTTGGATAAGTATAAGATTTTCGAAATCGACGAATTGAGAAAGGCTACTGATGGATTTGATGAGAGGAAGGTGATACATGGTTCTGTTTATAAAGGTTGCATTGATGGGATTTTTTATGCTATGAAGAAGATGAAGTGGAATGCTTATGAAGAGTTAAAGATCTTGCAAAAGGTATAGTATTCTCATTTTTGTACTCCATACTTGTTTTAATATTATTATTCCGTTGATTATGTGAATTTTGATATTCTTTGATGAATCAGTATTTAGGTTTAAGTTTTTAATACAATAAGATCGATTCGTTGATATAAAGACATACGAAAACTACTAAAGTTTTTCATAATATCATATTGAATCAAATAAATAAATTTCCTTTCTATAAAGTATAAACTACGTTTGTCGATTAAATCTTATTTTGTGGAACATTTTCGCTCATCTACATTCTTTTTGGAAAAACAATCTAAGGATTTGTTGTAACCCTCATAATAATTTTATCTAATTTATTATATTATATTTACGAAATTAATGAATTTTTCCATCCAATTCTTCTATAATGAAACAATTTCACATATATTAGAACAAATGTTAAGCCGTATATTTGTGTTTATAAGTTAATCCTCTCTCAAAAGAGGTGATGAAAAACCCTAACTTTCCAAAGAAAAAATTATTATGGAAGAGTTTATAAATTTTTTATACAAGAAATAAAGATTGTGATTACCACTTATAAAACTCATAGCCCCTTAAAAATTTAACAATAAAGGATATGATGTTAGAGAGGGAATGAGAGAAAGAGCTAAATTTAATGTGAAAAAAAAAAAAAAAAATTGTTTGGTAATTGCCTAATTGGCTTTTAAGCTGGTTTTTCCGCCAAAAGTCAAAAGCTAATAAGAGTAGTTTTTCGATTGGTTTTTGACTTGTTGGTTCACTTTATCACTAATAAACTGCTAACAACTATAAATAATTTTACCAAATACTTTTGTAAACAAGTGGCTTAGATAATTAACTTAAAAGGCCAATACATACAACTAATAGTTCCAACTAGTCAAACAAATCAAGTAAACAAGCCAATAACCAACCGCCGATTGCCAAACAATCCCATTGTTAATTTGTTATATTTCTCTAAAATACCACTAGAACCACTATACAACAATCGAGCTATATGTACACGGCGGCCGCCGCCATGAGTATTTGAATTAATTGGAGATGCTCTGAGCTTGAATTGACTTTTTAATTTGTATTCAAATTAATTCAAACAAGGGGAAAAACAAGTGTCCTTTGGAATAAAATTAGATGGTAAACCGTGATGAGTGGATGAGAGTGAATGAGATATGAATATCCAAGGATGATAGGTGTGTATTGTTGACTCAATATTGACTTTAATCTATTTGAAATTGAGAATTTATTATTGAAGTTTTGCTTAAAGATTGTTCACTACGTATATGGTTGGTTGAGTAATAGAAAAATACAAGTTTATTATATTAAGTGGTAAAATTGTAAATAAATCATTAACTTTTCATTAAACGTCACACTTAATGATATACAAAAATCTTATTTTTGTTGATTTATTTACAAATTGACACTTGATAAACATACGTGATAAATTGGGACATCCTCGTACAAATTAGCAACTAGTATAAGTGAACAGTGGATGAGACTAAATTAATCAAATGTAAAACACTACTGATTTTTGTATCATTGAACATCTTGGAATCATTAGTTTGTCTTGGTAGCATAACTTTTAACATGTAAATTTTGGAATTTTTTTTCTGCTAAATAGCTGTATTTATAATGCTAATTTTGATATGTAGTAGTATACAATGAGCTAATGAACTAGTTCAATTTAGTTTAAAATTTTCTGATAATTACTTATTTCATTTTATTGTATCCTGGACTTGGGTTTAATCTTGGGGAGCAAGAATCACTGAAAATTGTTTAACTTAACGTAATAATGTGACAACTGAATCTCACCCTGCTCTTGTGGCGCTCTAAAAAAAAAAAAAAAAAAGTAGCAACTGAATTCGGATGGAAGGAATATAAATTAAGTAATTAACTTGTATTACCATTTCCTCTTGTCATTTACAGGTGAATCATGGAAACTTGGTCCGATTGGAAGGATTTTCCATTTGCCCTGAAGATGCTACGTGCTACCTAGTTTATGAGTACATTGAAAACGGATCTCTTCATTTTTGGCTACACGAAAACAAGAGCAAATTAAACTGGAAAGCTAGACTAAGAATTTCAATCGATATTGCAAATGGTCTTCAATACTTTCATGAGCATACTAGACCACAAGTTGTTCACAAAGACATTAAGAGCAGCAACATTCTCCTCGACACCAATATGAGAGCTAAGATTGCCAATTTCGGGTTAGCACGGTCTGGGTGTAACGCTATTACAATGCACATTGTAGGCACCCAAGGATATATTGCACCTGAATATTTAACTGATGGTATAGTCTCTCCAAAGATGGATGTCTTCTCATTTGGAGTAGTCTTGCTCGAGTTGCTATCGGGTAGGGAGGCCATCGACCAGGAGGGAAAAGCACTTTGGGCTAGTGCCCATGAAACTTGGGACTACACTGATGATGAGACCAAAAAGGTGAAGAAGTTGATGGAGTGGATAGACAACTTCCTTCAAACGGAATCTTGCTCAGTTGAGGCCTTGATTACTATGATGGATGTGGCTGTTGCTTGTGTTAATAAGGATCCCTCAAAGCGGCCAAGTATGGTAGATGTTGTGTATGTGTTGTGCAAGAGTGATGACTCCTTTTATAATACTTCGGGAAATGAATTTTCTACATCTTCCTTTACATCAAGATAGAACGGAAAAATATTTAGGTTGAGATGCATGTAGTCCCTGTAGATGGATGTTGAACAAATGAACCGTTGAAGTATAAAATTTCCATACAACATATATAAGTGTATTTCTCCTCGTATTAAAAAGAAAAAAAATTAAGAGAAATTTAAACATTTTATAGAGCTAAAGGATTTCTCCTCGTATTCTTATATGATTTTGGGATAGAATCTCTTTTGATCTTATAAAGTGATTCTTTCTTGGTGACAACAGGTGCAACTTCGCACTAATAGTTTGTAATTTTTGTTCAATTATTATGTCAAACAAAAATTGTGGCATGGGTCTGCCTGTTGAATTTACACAATTACTTCGCACCTATGCGGCTATGTGTGATGAGTATTGCTTAGACATACATTGTTTAGTTGTGCAGTGTGATACAAAATATAGTCTTCTATCTTCTATTATTTGTTAATAGTGTATTTCCAGTTAATAACATAATGACAAACTTGTAAAACACAATTTATTAGACCCAATAATTCTAGAGAAAATGATATTTACCCAATCCCAAAGATAGATTATCACTATAACACTACTCTTGTGAAAGACTAAAAGAGTGTCAAACACCAAGTACAGTAGTCGTTAATTGCCAATAATTGCATGGGCCTGTTGAATTTATTTTGGGCTCAAAATTTATTGGTGCCAAACTAATTCTTGTGTGAACCTTGGCAATTAACCCATACAACATATCCGCGATCCGCCAAAATCAACACTACGCTCTACAAAATGAACATTTAGTTAAAAAATATGATCATGAAAAAAAATGAACATTTAATAATAAAAAATGATCACGTAAAAAAATGAACATTTAATACTTATAATGCATATGTTTCATAATCATATTATTTTTTATTTCTTCAGATATTTACGTTCATAATTAAATGCATTATATTCATAATAATATTTTATATGTTCATATATAATTTCAAATATTCATAATGTAAATATGTGTTGTTCATGAAATATTAATTAAATCTATTTATGCATATGTTGTCTTTCTTAAATGTTTATGTTCATATTTTTTTAGGTATATGTTCACATTTTAAATGTTTATATTCACTTTAAGATCGAAAACCAATGCTTACGTTCATATTTGAAATGTTATGTTCACTTTCTGAAAGGCATAAGTTCATATTTTTTATGTCTATGTTCACTTTCTAAAAAGGTAATGTTCACATTTAAAGGAACCTATGCATATGTTCATAATGCAAATATTCATAGTAAATATTTGTTGTTCATGAAATATTCTCATTAAGCCTATTTATGCATATGTTCTCTTTCTTGAATGCATATGTTCATATTTTTTACGCATATGTTCACCTTTTAAATGCTTATATTCACTTTAAGGAAACTAATGCTTACGTTCATATTTTGAATTGTTATATTTACTTTCTACAATGCATATGTTCAAATTTTTTATGCCTATGTTCTCTTTATGAAAAGCTAATGTTCATATTTAAGGGAACCTATGCATATGTTCATATTTTGCATAATTATGTTCATTGATAAAAAAAATGCAAAAGGTTAGATAAAATTCATACATAAATGAAATTGATCGAAGTTCAAAAAAAAAAAATCAATTCATATGAATTCAAAAAATAGATAAACTTAATCAATCAAAATTAAGCACAAATTCACCACATAATAAATTCAATTGAAAAATTGAATCGAAAAAATTGAAACAAAAGAGGAAAAAAAACAAAGGAGAGAAATCATAGAATAATTTGTCCAGAAAAAAAAAAAAAAAAAAAAAAAAAAAAAAAAAAAAAAAAACAGAGAACAAAATATAGTAATGAAAATTTTAATGGAAAACTTTGATGAGAATTAGGAAAGATAGGAGAAGAGAAAGAATTGGAAAAGAGGAAACCAGAAAATTTGAAAAAGGAAACCAAGAAACTTTCTAGGTGCAAGAGGTTACACCTAAGAATATGCGCAACATTGGTTCATCTAAAATAGATGGACCACCACCTAAAAGACACCTCTATACAAATAAAATACAACTCTACTCTATCAACTCATTCTTCTTCCTGCACCTTTACATCTTCTTCTTCCTTTTTTTTTTTTGTTAATTTTTTGTTCCTTCTATACAAAATCTCTCTCTCTCTTTTTTTTTTTTTTAAAAAAAAACAAAATCTGATCTCTTTTTATTTCTTTCTCGATTTTAATTCATTCCTTTTTTTTCAAATTCTTATTTTCTCTCTCCTCTATTCCCTTGATTTTTTTTTCCATTAATTTTCTACATTTAACGTGATGAAAATTGTCGATATTCTTGAAGAGATCAATCTAGATTAGTTATTATGAAGTCATTGTGATCAATATTAATTAATTTTTTGATTTTACGATGAATTTGTGGATGAAATTATTGTTTAATATCAATTGAATTTGTTGCACTTAATCTGATCGATTTCAATCGTAATCCATTATGGTCGATTAATTGATATTTTTTTTATTGTTGTCATTAATTTGATCGATTAATTTTGTAAAAAAAAATTGGACATTGCAAATTTTGAACATTTAGTAAAAAAAAATCCGAACTGAACATCGAAAATTTTGAACATTTAATAAAAATATATGAACAATTATAATGTACCACGTCTATACTTTTGAACATTTAGTAAACAAAAATAAAAATAAAAAAAAAACGATTGCAAATTTTGAACATTTAGAAAAAAAAAACTGAACTGAACATCGAAAATTTTGAACATTTAGTAAAAATATCTAAACAATCGCAATGTACTACGTCGGTACTTTTGAACATTTATTAAAAAAATCTGAACGATTACAAATTTTGAACATTTAGTAAAAAAAAAATCCGAACTGAACATTAAAATTTTTGAACATTTAGTAAAAGAATCTGAACAATCACAATGTAACACGCCTATACTTTTGAATATTTACTATAAAAATCTAAAGGATTGCAAATTTTGAACATTTAGTAAAAAAAAATCTGAACTGAACATCAAAATTTTTGAACATTTAGTAAAAGTATCTGAACAATCGCATTGTACCACACCTATACTTTTGAAAATTTAGTAAAAAAATATGAACGATTGCAAATTTTAAACATTTGGTAAAAAAAAAAAATCTAAACTGAACATCGAAATTTTTGAACATTTAGTAAAAATATCTAAAAAAATTGCAATGTACTACGCCTATACTTTTGTACATTTGGTAAAAAAAAATCTAAACGATTGCGAATTTTGAACATTTAGTAAAAAAAAATACGAACTGAACATTGAAAATTTTGAACATTTATTAAAAGTATATGAACAATCGCAATATATCACGCCTTTACTTTTGAACATTTAGTAAAAAAAACCTAAACAATTTCAAATTTTAATTTGAACTTTTAGTAAAAAAAATCTGAACATCGCAAATTTTGAACATTTAGTAAAAATATCCGAACAATCGCAATGTACCATTGCACGCCTTGAAATCGATCGGATTAGCTTCAACAATTCATCTTCATCACTACTTGTAGAATATTTGTCAAAAAAATGAGAAAAATGTTTAGAAATTATACACAAATTACCAAAATTTAATTAATTTTAACAAATTACAACAAGTTCAAAGGAAATCAATTAACGAATTTAAAGAAATCTAAAGAAATTTTAAGTTGTTCAAATATTTAATTACCTTTCTAGACCTTTTTCTTGTTTTCTTTCATGGCGATTCGTCAATTACAGAGGAGAGAGATATGTTTGTTGGAGCAAAATAACAAAAAGAAATAAACTGAAGAAATTTTGAGACTGTTTGAGCCGCAAGATTTGGGGTATGTAGTGTATATGAGCCAGTGGTCCATCTATTCTAGATAGAACAGGGTCTACAATAGACTTATTGAAGTCATTATTGTACTGGTGTAATACCCGAATATTTTATGATTTTATACAATATATTTTATAAAAATATAGTTTATTTTATTTATTATATAACTTTTTTAATCTTATATTTTTATTTTAGAGTTCGAAAAGGTTTAAAACCCTATTTTAATTTAAATATGACTCTTTATTTTTCTAAGAGTATATAAACTATTTTAACCCTATTACTATTTGTGCGGCTGTAAGTTTTGGTATTAAAATTCCCTTCTCGTGGGTTATAGCTAGCTAGCAGTAGCCATATTGCCATGAATTCATATGATAAGTATTTATCTTCATAAAACTCTTGATCAAACCCATTATCATTACTTTTCCCCAAAATTACAAGTTTTTTGATTTGTGAATTGGTGGAGTACCTTGCGTGAGTTGTTGTTAATCGTGGAGTATCTTGTTCTTATATTTGCTTAATTATTTTCGGAAGGTAATCACACTATCAACCCTTAGATCGTTTGTTTATAATTTGATTGTATTATATATTTATTTTATGTAACCACACGAAATTTTCTTGGAGTTGGCTTTGTTATAATTCGTCTTATTATGTGTAGGTTTATACAATTTTTATTCATATGATCAATTATTGTATATATTGTTAATATGTTGTGATATATGATTTAATTATCGTATTATTTTGTTGTATTATTGATTATATTGATTTTGTTATAATTTGAAGGTTTTAATGTAGTTGTTCTAGGGAGTATTGTTTTGAGGTTCAGGGCTATTAATGCAGAGTATTAATATTGGGTTGAGAATTGATTATATTCGGGTATTAGAATTATTTCCCTATAAGGGTTGAGACGTTTTATGAATCAGATTGTCATTTTTTTATTTATTTTTGGGATCATGTGCCATTATTGAGATCGATATTGCTTATTAGTTTGTAAATGATTATTTGATCAAAGATCAAAGTATGAGATCAAAAGGTTCAGAATTATTATTTTGTTATTGGTTTGAGGCTCGGTGTTATAGACCTTAGTCCTTGGCATGTTGGTAATGAGATAATGATCATGAGTTAAGAATGAGGTACAATCTTTATTATTTGTTTTTCTATGGTCCCCTACAGTGGAAATTGACCCGTATGTGGTCTAGTTTAAGGTGTTTTCTGGTTATTGGGAGTATTCAAGTTTTTATACTTGTTGGTTTTATTCGAATTACCCATGTCCAAGGCTAGGTATATATAGAACAATGAGCATGGCACACTTATGGGTTATATGAGTTAATTGAGTTAAAGTTCGTATTATTATTCGAGGTTGAGTTGATAAAGGTTATTTTCATAGTACAATGTGTAATGTAGTTTTGAACTACATTGTTTAATTGATCTAGTAATGTTAATTATTATATTATTCTTTGTATTCTGATATGTGGTGATTACTCAGCTTTTGCTGATGTGTGTGTGTGTTATTTTGTTGTGCTACTTGTGTTTGCGGCC